AGGCGGCATTGGTACTGACACAGGACCGTTCTGCACTATGAAACAAAGGGAAAATGAGGTATTACCGTGAACATCAATTGGAATGTCATGAGCACCAGCAGAAGAAGTCGGGCCTTCCTCTCCGAGGCTTGCATGCTTAAGGATCCTAAGCAACTAAGAAATCCACCTTGTCCCCCACTACACACCTCCTCTTCACCACTATGCTGGTCCAAGCACTTTTTTGGGCAACTCACCAAAGTACTTGAGTGTATGAACATGGGAGACCACTACCCTAATGCAAGAAGTTAGTATTTTTTTCTATCAACTCAGAAATTAATGAAACGTGGGAGCCACCCACAAGAGAGAGCAAACGTGGCCAGGGGACCTCAGCGTCCTCAGTGGCTGCGAGGGGCCGTGACCTGTGGGCTCAGGTGGTTTTGTCAGAGTTAAGCCTGCTGGGACCGTTCCCTGCACAACAAACACCAGGTCCAGCTCGCAGCCAGCCCACATCCTGGGGACAAAACGCTTCTTACCTGCTTCAGATGGCGTCGCTAAGGCAGGTAACGGTGGTGGAGGTGGCGGTAACGGTACTGAAGGTGCAGCTCCAGCGCCCGGTGTGACACATGTGCTGGCCGTGGCCTCCGACCCTGCCGGCACCATCCCCGAGGCCAGAGCGACAGGAAGGATGGAAATGTCACCATCCCCTTTCTTCTGGATCTTAATGGTTCCCTGCTTCTCCAGTTCATGGATCTTCTTCTCCAGCGTTGACTGTCGCTGGATGGCTTCTTCTTTTTCTTTCACCATTTTTCTCAAGGTGTGAACCTGGGTATTCGCATCTTTGTAGATTTCCTGAGAGCGCCGCAGAAACAAGGAATTTGCACTTGTACCCACAAATCAGAATACCAGAAACAGAACAGCCTGAGGCACAACGGTCATCGCACCAGGCTCTATCGAACAGCAGGCTCGAATGCAAACCAAACATTTTCACTGCTGAGGCAGAATTCACTTTGTTTTGTTCCCAAGGTAGCAGCAGGTAGCGCACGGCACTGAGCCCTGGCAGAAATCTCAGCTATGGGCACCAACACCTAGACGTGCAGAATTTCTCATCATCGTTCTTTTGCGATGCCTCCCATTTCTCACGCTAGCCTAAACACACAGTGGAGGAGGTGTGCTTCCTCGATTTTGACTTCAACAGAGTGTATCTTACACCTTGTTGGGTTACTCAGCCTATGAGCAGATGCTGACCCATAAAGGGAGGCAGGAACAGAGCTCCTGATCAGGAGTAGACATCGTACCTCCACATACCCAGGCCAGACCCTCCAAAGGAACCTTGGAAGCAGCTGCACTTCGGGATGACGTTTAGGCTGAAGTTAGTTACTATCATACTCACAATTTTTGTTCCTAAGATTGCACATGAAGAAGTAACGAGCGTGGATGGTGCACAGAGAGCCAGCTGAGATTGCTCCCGCCCCACTGCCGTCTAACTCAAGTCTGAAGGTCTCCGGGTCCACCTCTAACGTCCTTCTGCACGTGGAAAAAGTCCACGCACAGATGCTACAGACCTGAGTGACAGGCTGCCCCGGACTCATTCGCTGCTTTGCTGGCACGGTCAAAGAGCTGGATGTCCATCTGTGAGCGAATGCACTAGTGATTCTATTTGAAATTTGCCCTAGGTTTCAAATGAGGAAGCTAACAGAAGTCACTTGACTTGGAGTCAGTACCTGCCACAGAGCGAGCGCACGGGAGATCATCCCCCCGAAGCATTGCATCCGCTCAGAGCTTGCCCATTGCGCTTACCCGAATCACATCCAGTTCCTTGTTTCTCTGCATAAGCTGTTTTTCCAGTTCCACAATCTTCGCCATGGCTTCATTCTCCGTATCTTGGAGTTTTTCAGATAACTGTCATGCAAAGGAGAAACAGATTACAGAAGTGGCTAACAGCAGTATTCTCAACCAAAACGTCAGGAATGCTTGTTGGAGCAGGCGTACATGACAAATTATTGATGTCTCACCAAACTCTGAATTATTTTTCAATTTTTCCAGCCCCACAAGCCCCGGATCTGAAAGCCCCACTGTTCTGGTGGGCTTTTTCCATCACCACCAACCACACAGACTCAGGCGAGGCTGCAGAGGTGGTGAGGGGGCACCGGTTGCTGTGGTTTTGAGATAAAACTTCTGCGATTCTATTATTAATATTTCTGTCAACACATGACACACAACCATGTCCATACTCGTGGGATGAGTCTCGTTTATGTAACAAGAGATCAGAAGCAAGCCCTTAAGAATCTGCTACCAGAGAACATAGCTAAGTTGGCTACGAAGCCAAGGGTGCAGTTTCTACTGAATTGCTGATCTCTAGCAGAAGAGCACCTCAGAGAGGCAAATGCTGCACACAGGTTGGTTTAGGAAGTTATTTATGCTAAGTGATGGCCCTATAGGAATGGTAAGAGAATGACTCTTTTATGATTTTTTTTAAAGTATGGAAAAACACTTTGGTTTTAAAACAGCCAAGCCATGTTTTCTGGACTAAAGCACTTGACATCAAGAAGGTACGGGGCAGAAAAGCCACGAGCAAAGACTGAATACCTGCAGAGCTCTGTTTTTCAGTCCTTTCCCTCTTGAGCCCAGTAATATTTTAAACAGAGAGAGGGGGGTTGTCTGTTCTATCTACCCATACTGCATTACTGAGGCATTTGCAATTTCTATGCAAATTAGCTTTCCCAGCTCATAACCCTGTGCTAAGGTGGACAGAGTGTGGTACTAACATGGGAAATGTTTTCTTCCAGTTCTTCAACTCTTTCCAGGGCTGCGTTCTTGGTTTCAGCATCCTCCAGTAGAGCTCCCACGTCAAAAACGTTGTCCAGGTAAGCTTGAATTTGCACCTGCAGTTTGTCGCTCTCTGTGTGCTTCAGTTTCTGCAAATCCAAGAAGACAAGGGTGCCACTTGAGAGAAAATACAAAAGGGGAAATATAAAAGCAGCTTCCTTCTGGAAGACTGTTTCCCACAGGATGCCAGAACATGCCTGGCTGTCAGGAGAAAACTCCGAGGAGGATTTTTCTTTCTCCACACAAGACACACTGAGGAGGCCCCGGCAGCACCTGAGCTGAGGCCAACACGAGGCCGGACACAGGGACGTGGCGCAGGCGAGGACGGCTGCGGTTCATCCTCCCTTTGTCATAAGGCGAAGCTACAAATTTAGCTCCCGGTCGGTAATTGCAGTGAGCTGCAGCCGATGTTTCTTCTGCAGAGGGTGGCTCCAGGCCACAGCACCACATTTCTCGCAGAGACAACAGGACGAGCCCACTCTGCCCTCCCCAAAGCTCTGGAGGGGAGAGGTTTAAGAGACCTGGCTCATACTCACGTCCAAGTACTCATCCAGGCCGAGCTTCGTGAACTCGTACTGCAGGTGCACCCTGAAGTTCATGTCCTCCACCGAGTGGACGACGATGTTGATGAACTGCATGCAGGCCACCTGCGAGGAGAAGAAGCCCTGTGAGGGAGGGGAGGTGACGGCGTCCACCCGGCTGCCCCCCAAAAGCCCCGGCACAGGGTCAGGCACAGCGAGCCACCACATTTCTCCACGGTTACCACAATGGGAAACCACGACCCGCTGTTCTGCAGCTTTTTTTTTTCCCCAAGCTGGTGCTGGATTCAGGCTTAGGGTGTCTGTCTGCTGTGATAAAGGTAAGCACGGGTCCCAGAAATTAAGTCATGTCTGCAGGGTCTACCTTTACTGCGTGACGGTGAATGTTTTCCATGCCCGCTCGCGCGGCCAGACATCCTACAAGCACACAAGCTCTTAAGAAAACAACGCTGTTTCTGAAACGGCCTGTAAAAGTGAGATTAATTTTGCAACTGGAACTCCTAAGCTTAGGAAACGGGACTTTCACAAAAGGCGCTTTGTTGTTTGCAGAAAAGCTTGTTTCCAAAGCTGTGGTTTGGGGAGCGAACAAGGGACCACATCATGGGAGTTGGCATCCAAGCGCGTCCAAGCCCAGGGAAGGAAAAGTCTCTCGAGCGAGTGGGTCATGAGCAGAAGGAGCAGTGGGAGGAACCTCACTGCTTTAAGAGAGGGTTTGCCTGGCTCCTGCTGGGATGTCCAAGGGCATAACCCTATCCTGCCAGCAAGACTGTGGGCTTCTTAACGTATCTGGGAAGTATCTCAGTAGTTCTAGAAGGCATCTGAGAGAAGATAAAATCAAAGTAGCCTGATTTTACCTGCACGACAAGCCTTCAGGAGACCCCACATCTCTGAGTTATCTTGTAGGGAGAAAAAAAATGAAGGCCACTTTCTGGATTATCAGTTTGCTGGAGGACACTGGTTAATTCTCCGTGACCTGCTCTAGGGACCAAAGGATAAACCCATGGGTGGGCAGCTGCTGCATGGTGGCCTTTGATGCCACAAAAACCTCCCTGGCTGAACTGCCCGGCTTTGGAGCCAGGATCACAGGGACACAACAAGCCAAAATGGTTAAGCAAAGCTCAGTCAAAACCTTTCAGCTGCATCTTCCCATGAAGATCCCGACCAGCTTTAACCGCTCTGTTTCCAAAACGACTTTAACCCTCAGATAATGCAACGTTGTGAGACAGGGATAATCCCGAGGAAGAGAGGAAGGAAGACGGTCTGAAGGCTCATCCAGGAGGCTCCTGCGCTGCCTCATCCCACCTCTCAGTGTGCATCTATCCCTCACACAAACCACTAGATCCATGCAGTTGGAAACCCAACTTCTTGAGCTCTTCTGTCTTTGCAGGGTCCTTTCCAGTTCCTGTGGTGAGCCCGGGTTCCTGCTAGTGCTGGTACTGGCCTTTGCCAGCTGCACCCTGCTGTCCCGTGCTATTACCCAGAGCCAAATTCCCCTATTTCAAAAGCTCTTCTGTTGTACTTGCTTTGGCTCTCGCCATGTCAGGGCCAAATTCTCATTTGCTTTCTCAGATCCTTACATACACAACTAAGGAATTCATCGAGTCAAAGAAAACTAATCTAAGAGAAGTTGCTTTTAAAATGAAGTAAGTCCATGCCAACAACAGGAACCTTCTCTAAAACACGTCTGCCTTTTTGTCGCCCCTTCCTCCCTGCCGATCCATGCCACTAACCGCAGCTCCTTCCAGCCACAAGCTGCCCAGACCGCTCATTTTGGGCAGCCTGCAGGAATAGCTCTTTGTTTGTGTTCACTCGTTGCAAATCCTTGAATTACTCAAGCTTTAACGTTTTTACACCTGGGCTCTGGCACCCATTTTACGCCGTCCTGCGGAGAGGAGACATGTGTGCCCTTGGGCGTATGCTGGAGCAAGCCGCAGGGCCGGTCAAGATTTTATTAGTACTTGGGCAAGTCCTGAAAAAAAAAATCTATTTATCGTTTTTCAAGCAAATTTCACGAGTCCCTTCAACCCTGGGAGGATCAGAGAATTCTCTTACAGGCCGTCCAGATGGATGCTGAATATTCACAGCTTGCACAGGCACACACACACATGCATATTCCCTATTACCTCCTTACAATACACCATTTCATATCATAAAAAAAAGACAAGGAACGATTAATTTTTCTTTTTGAAGAGAGGATAAATTTTGTAGCTTGGAGCAAGCTGCTCTCCCACTGCCCAAATACAATGATCCATCACTGTGAGCAGGGCAAAAATGACTTAAGAGTTGGGTGTTGAGCACTAACAAATCTTCCCGTTAAACAAAATCATGTGTACACCTGAGAGTACTTCAGGTACCCTGCGACTACCAACATGTTCTTACTGGGATTGCACTACTAAGTAATCAAAACCAACTGCAATGCGTCAGGGAGTTACTGAGCCAGCTTGCTAACTTGAGTAAAATTGCAGGGATGGCTGCAACTATTTCTTGTGTTTCTTGTATTTCTTGTATTTATTTACTTTTCTTGTATTTAAAAATTTAAAAAATTATAAAAATTTAAAAAATTTTAAAAATCTAAAAATACAGGAAAGAGGCCACCCTATGCTGCTCACACCACCTCCTTCTTGTTCTGCTCAGGGGTGTGAGCCTGCCCTGGCCATCAGGGCTGCAAGCCACTGACACCGCAGTATTCAAAGCCAGTAGGAAACATCAAACGGAGGCTTTAACACCTAATTCCTGGCGGAAAGAGGTCTTCATACAAAAGTTCAGCACTAAAACAGTATCAAGTGTCACAGACCAGCCAGTGTGACCGGGTGGGAAGCTGTCCTGCTCTGCTGTCACCTCAAACCAGGATCATGCCCGATCCGAGGCGCTGAGCACGAGTGCAGGGAGACCACGCCGACCACATGCCAGCGTTCGTTTTCTAATTAAAACCAGGACTGACGTATTTTTTGTTACCAGCCGTGTAAGGAGCTAGCTCCTCCTTACTGCCCAACCTCCGCCTTCCACGTGCTGCCAACGTGCAAAAGCTGGCGCCGGCGGTGGTGGGTGCCAGCCAGAGCTTCCTCTCTTGCCCTTCTCTCTTGTGCTCCGGGGGAAGTGGATTTGGTGAATAATCATGCATATGCACACTGAGGAACCAAAAGTGGTGCAAACTCCGGCTATATTTATCAGCAGATAAGGACAGGCAGCAGCTGCAGCCAGTCTCTCCCACACTTCCCTGTCTGTGACTCCGAGGACGCTGGCACGCAGACAGAAGACGCGTCTCAGTGTTGCAGAAGCTTTGCTGCACACGCGACCAAAAAGCTGCTTTTCCTCTTACCTTCACTACGGTACGAGGCATTTCCTGGAGGTAACTGAACTGAATGGAGGCTAAAAACGAAACGCACGTTATGTAGTTTGGAATATTTCAAAATCATGTCGCGGTAATTTTAGGCCAAGGATCAGAAGGCAGATGAATCTCTGCCTACGACAGCAGAACCAGACACAGTAAATACCGAAGCCAACGTTTGCTGCTGATAAGGAGCACTCACCATAAAGTCTATATTGTTGTCTTCGTTTCGGAAGTGCTCCATCAGCTTCTCAAAGCGCTGTTTCTCTCCACACACCTACAAAAGAATGTGTTTGTTAAGCAACAGCTTGCAGGAGACAGCACGAAAAACATTTTAAAAGCAGCTCCTCTGCTTGCTCAAAACCTCTCCGGTCCAGGTTTCGTTTCTTGTTAAAACAGTTGTTCGTGACGAATCCAGCAGAGAAATCACAAGTGAGCATCTGCCCTGTGGGTCGGGTACAATTATAACGTAACTCTTTGTATTTCTATTCTCCCTAAAAATTTAATCATACCCACTGAATGTAAGCAACAGAGTTGCAGCAGGCTATGCCACAGGAACACTCGGCCTCTCTCACGGTGCAGAACTGGCTTTCCACTGCAATCTAATGTAATTAGGAAGAAGACCAAATTACAGGGAGGAAAAAAAAGAAAATTATCACTGCTTAAACAAGGAGTGAAATACATCAGCGTAACTATCAGCTGGTCAGAATTACAGAGCCCTAATACAGGGGTGTTGGCAGGAAACACAAACAACCTGAGAGAGAAATAAGATCTAAGATAAAGCAGGTCTCAGGATATTGTTTAAAACTGATTACTTCCCATGGCATTACCTCTCTGGCTCAGTCCTGCTTTTCCCAGTGCACAAAATGATCTAGGGTAATCCGCCCCAAAACCACAAAATATGAAGGAAATCAGACGGCAAAAGAGGGAGCAGAGGTGAGCACTGTCACAGTGAGCCCGGCGTCCCAGCAGGGTCAGATGGGAGGTGACGGGGCAGGGCAAAGTCTCCCACACGTCCCCGAATCCCCCGAGAGCGACCTGATATCCCGCGCGAATTGCTGACTTCTGGCTTGCTGGGTTTTGGCATCAAACCGAGCAGGGAATTCAGGAAGGGCGCAGGCACGCCCTTCAGAGCAGAGGGGTGAGGGTCCGTGTGCCAGCAGTGCTCAGTGTTGGTCCCATCTTCACCCTCCTCAGCTGCTGGCTGCTTGCAGAGCGACAGAAGAAGCTCTGAAAGAGGCTGCTTTGCTCCCAAAGGTCCTGAAAAGCTGAGTTTGGTCATCGGGAGGACTAACTTCCCTTATGCTGAGGAACAAAACCCTCGGTGGGATGAGGACGCTCCTTAACCAGATTTCACCCAAGTGTCCCGGGAGCACAAGGGACACGGCAGCGGGACCTCCAACCCGAGCAGCTGGCTTAGGGTCTGCCAGCACAACCCTCTGAGATATCAGCTGCTGCTTCCCTTCACAGCCAGCTCATGGCACAGCAGTTATTAGCCAGTAAATGCTAATTAAGGATTGTGGGAGCAGTGGCTACTTCTTCAGAAACTGCCCTCTCCGGGGCAGGGGATGGTTCTTTGTCCCTATTTCTATATTTACGTCTCCCTCAAGGAGATGAAATGCCCAGCTGGGGGTTTCTAGATACTCATCAAAAGCAAGTTCTCCGCCAAGTATGCGTTATTATTATTATTCCCGTATCGGCCTCCTCTTTCTAACTCCATCTGTCTCACAGTTTGTACCTACACAAAGATGAAGGCACCAAGTAGACCTCACTGAAGTCACGCAGAGCTTAGTGGGACCTAAGCCAAGCCGGTCGTGAGATCTGCGCTGCTGGGTGACCTCTCGGCACACTTCCCTGCTGCCTGTGTGACCAAATAAAACATACTTGTGGTCTAGGCCTTTCCTAAGCAAAATCGCCACAACTGGGTTGTTATCCAGGTATTTGTGGTCGGTACCTGACGTCAATGGGAATTCTGCCCCTGGATCTCTACAAGAAGACGGGGCCACTGGTTGGATTTGGTAGTGTGACCATCAATATTCACGGCCACAAGCCCACAAGTCGCAACTAATGCGCTCAGTGCAGGCTCAGCCACCCCGAATCACACCTCTCTGGTGAGCAGGGTGCCAAATTCCTCACCAACACTTGCCAAATCCTGTATTTAAATGTTTTCAGCTGAAGCTTAAAAGACTCGCAAGGTAGAATAAACACACTTAAACAACAAAGCGTGCACCTCCGTGAAAAAAAACCAATAGATTACACTTGCTGGTCAAGAAAATTATCATGATCTTAACTCAAAGGACTCATCTCTCCCTAGAGCTTGTGCCATGAAATGAGGTTTTGAAGCATTAAATGCCTTTACACAGGCCTGTAAAACACACCTTAAGATCTAAGATAAAGTAAAACAGAGCCAAGACAGACCCACTCTGGATGGAGCAAGTCGTCTTGGTTTTGCCTGGCCTATGCAAGGGCATGACTCGTCTGTCTGAGGTCCCTGGGACGCAGAAAGGACGGGTGAGTTTGGAGAGCCACTGCCATTCAGCTTCAGGTTGCAAATCCTCAGCGTGATCTCGGGCTTTTCCTCAGGTGTAATCCTCGTGAAGCCACCCTACAGCATCGGGAGATGGAAGCCCAAACAGCCCAGACACGTCGCTGATGGTTAGAGTAGCTCCAGCGAAAACCAAAGGCGAGGAAGCCAAAGAGAAAACCAGAACCTGGCCCAGTTTCAGGAACCTACTGGCACTGTAAGGATCAAAGGCAGCAGCTGCCCGCCGATATAATTTGATTTTGGAGGCGTAGCCTGGGCCTGATCCAACTCCGGCTCAAAGTAAATCCAAGGAACCTTCTCCTTGACTCGCACCACAGCTGCTCACACGCACTCGCCCCTGCGTTATTATGCCGAGCTACTTTTTCCTACAAGAGTAAATGGGATGTTATTTCAGTGCGAGCAACTGCAAACTCTGCCAGAGCTCTCTGTACTCTCCACAAAACAGTTAAGAGCCAATATAGCAAAAGAAAAAAGTACGTTCCTCTCAACTTTGAGCTCTAAACAATCGCGTCCCTCTCGTACCCAACTTCAGAAAAAGAAACGAGGCCGGCTCGAACAAAATAACGTCTTTTGGAAACAACCATTAACAGCGGCGTGTACAATCGCTCTGCAATAAAAGCCAGAAGGACTGATTTCTGGGAAATCTAATGTAAACCGTTCCACATGGATGAGAAGAGCTGACAGAAACAACTACACAAGCCACTTAATGGCTGACTAATTAAATCAGGGAGCAAAACGAAGCGGCACCGCCCCGGCGGAGAATTGCTGATGCTGGGCCTGGCTGGCCGTGAGCTGATAGCAAGAGGAAAAGCAACAAGAACCTGCGGCTTTCGGCAGATATTTCACACCATCATCAGATGAGTCAGTGCCGGGAACATGCGCGTTTCCAGAGACAGCGAGCTGACTTCCATGAAATGATATAATTTCTCCTGGAAGATTAAAGAGGGTGAAACTGTAGACGAGGCCTACAGCCCAAAGATTGGCCAAAATCCAAGGCGAATGCTGAAATCAAATCCCACCACATAAAACCATATGTTGCCATTTATATTTGAATAAATTTCCATGGTCTGTCATTTGAAAGTATGGCTGGGACTAAGGAAGGCTGATCTTTCTTTTATTAGCCTTATTTTGTGTAAGAAGCAAGATTAAACGGGTTACCACAGCTATAAAAAACCCCTTTGTCTCTACTTAGCCTGCAAAAAAAAAAAACCTTTTTAGGTTGCATTAAGCCCACGTCATTCTAGAAGAACAATGTGGCTTTATGGAAAACCACCCACGAAGGCTCCTTTCTCTGGAAAGGCTTCGGGTGCTAACGAAGTAAACCCGTCACAGATCTGTCACAAAGGTACGATACAACCCTAGATGGAAACAAAAAAAGGATTTCTCAAGCAAAATTTAGTGATGGTTGTGTCCATATCCACCTGGCAGTGCTCACACAGTTCATATCCAGGCCACCTAAGAGCAAAGTTCAACTACGACAACCCTCGTGTTGCTCCTGCTCACGGGGCTGGATGATTTCAAGATGCTCCAGAAAGGCGTCCTGGGCATGCAGCAGAAGACAGTAAGGGCGTTTTGGGAAAACTGATACCATTTTTATGTGCAGGGTCAAGCAGAAAGTGAAAATCCAGGCCGACCGAAGCACATCCCTCGTCCTCCTACCTCAAGGCAGTTACCTGATGACACGAAGCACCATCTCATTTTTTGTTGGAGGAGCTCGTAACTAAGCCTCACCGCAAGCAAATATCACGTGTTCCACGGGGAGATGGCAGTACTTCGGGCTTTGGAGCTGCACACCACAAGATACAGCTGCCAGACCGCTATCTCCTCCACATCTGGAGGGCTGATGCTCCCAAGCCTGGGGTGCATCGCCCCACGGAGACACAGCAACCGCCCCGATGCGAGCGTTGGTCTGTCAGCGAAGCAGGGAAGAGAGAATCCCAGCTCCCAGCTAGCAACATGGGTTTGTAGAAAAGGCATTTCTAAGCTCAGCAGCTCACAAAATGCCCCTGTGCCAGGAAGCTGGTAATGCCTGATGGTCCCCCACGCCACGCAGAAAATGAAGTAATTCTGGCTGCGCTCCTACTCAAGATGTATGTGGGCTGGTACGGCAAAGGCAGCTAATGCTGACCTCAAAGCAGGGAAAACAATTCTCTGAAGGACCAAATTTAAGCTACCTAAAGTTTACAAGAGGCTTTGCAACACAGGACATGTTCAAAAAATGTGCAAATGTGGCACTTCAGGACATGGTTTGGTGGTCACGGTGGGGTTGGGTTGATGGCTGGACTAGATCATCTTAGAGGCCTTTTCCAACCTTAATGATTCTTTGATTCTATTCTACGATTTTCTCTCAGTGCAAATGTTAAAAGGAGCACCTACTGTGTGTTGCCCAAAGGTTGTTTTAAGCTACTTTCTCCTCCTTCGGTAACCTTTTGAGTTCTGGAAGAGCGAGAAGCCGTGGCACAACTTCATGGAAAATACTCACCGTGCACATGAACGCAGCTCATAAACAGAAATAGCCTGATCTATATGCAACCCGAAAAATTCACGGGACCCTTTGTGAACCTTTCCTCCTGTCTGTGCTCCTTTGTCCAGCGGCACAATGCCGGCTTTCTCTCCCCTACAACAGCCCACTGTGATCAGCAGATCCCACCGCCGGCAAGCAGCGCTCCACAGGAACACTTTGTTTGGACTGATCGTGCTCTGCCATTTGTGCACTTTGCTGAAGGACAAAA